TTTGAGCGTTGTCAGTGGAGGGGTGCATTCTTCATCCAGAGTAGGAGATTCAGGTAAGATGTCGGATTCTCTCGGAGGGACGATGTGAAGCTGTGCGGAGGGAGGGTCTGTTAGTGCTAGGAGTTCGGGTGTCGATATCGGTGGGTCAAACGGTGAGTGGAGACATTCTCTATTCCTTCATTAGGAAGTTCCACCAAGGCGTAATGCGGATTGCAATTGATAAGGTCAACTTCTTCCGCGAGAGGATCCATTTTCGAGGACTGATCCATGCGTTTGAGCATGTGGAGTGGCGTTTGTGGCTGTGCATAAGGGAGAACGGATCGAGTGCAGTGCGTCTGTTAGGACGAATTTCCATTGGGAGATAGCTAAGCCCCTCGTCTTCAGTGTCAGAGAAATAGCCTTCCAAAGAGTACCGTTCAACTGCTCAACCTGACCATTAGCTTTCGGATTGTAGGCGGTTGTAAGGCTGATAGCCACTCCTTTGTCTCGTAAGAAAGTTGATAGTTCAGATGACAAGAACGATGGACCCCGACCTAAGTGGATATAGGCTGGCATCCCGAAGATGGAAAATAGTTGGCTGAGGCAGTTAATGACCGTAGACGATTGCATATATGGACAGGCGAAGGCGAATGGGACCCGGTAGTATTCGCCTATGGTCTTCAGAATGTACCGATTACGAGACGTTGAGGGTAACGGCCCTTCGAAGTCGATACGGAGTCTTTCAAATTAAATGCCTTGTGAGCTATTTGTGAAAGCGCGGTTTCAATTCAGCGCATATGCTGCATTGAGAAGTCATTGTTTTGACTTCGTCAACCGAGTACGGTACGGAGCGCACAAAGTGGATCATACGCGTGATTCCAGGGTGGCAAAGTGATTCGTGTAGCGTTTTCAGTTTCTGGCAGTTGAATTTGGAAGCACATTTTACGGGAGAGTGCGTTCGCAACGGAGTTGTCTTTACCGGGTTGGTATACTATATCAAAGTGGCAATCCGACAGCTCGAGTTTCCACCTCTGGATTTTGTCGTTTTTGATTTTACTAGTGTGGTTGTTATTGAAGATGTAGGCTACCGAACGTTGATCCGTAATAAGCTTAGTGTCGCCACTTGCGAATTGCTTCGACTATGGCCCAGGCTTTCTTTTCGACAGCGGAGTGGTGTCGTTTGCTTTGAGTCAGAGTGCGCGAAAAGAAGGCTTCAGGGCTATAGCTACATCGTAAGCGTCTGTTTCTGCGACCAAAGGTATCTCATGGTCTACGGTCACTAGCATGACATTGTCCAAGTCTTGTTTGAGTCCCTCAAATGCGCTTCTGACGGGTGGTGGTAAAGGGAATGTTTTTTGATGAACTAGTGGATTGTTTTTGTCCGAAAATGACGGTATCCACAGCGAGTAGTAAGCGAAGAGACCAATCGTACGACGTAGGGCCTTGCTGTCCGCAAATGGGAGAATTTTGCGCAGGGGTTTCATTCTATCTTGGTCGGGTTTGATAAAGCCCTGTGATATGATAACCAGGGAGCTGAATTTCTATCTGAGCGGTTACAGTTTTCGATTCATTCAGAGTGATACCATATTTAATCACGGCTTTCAAGAAGCGTTCGAGATCTCGATCGTGGTTCTCCGGGGTCAAACCACACGGTGACGTTGTCTATGTATGCGAACGTATTCTTCAGACCCACTTTTAAAATTTTGTCAACTGTGCGTTGAAAACAAGTGACGCCGTTAGTAACCCCAAACGGTATTCGACAGAACTGAAAGAGATTGCCACTCCAAGTCCCGGGGCTTAGGTTGCCGGTTTCCATCACTGAACAGCAGGTACTCGTGATCATCACAAAAGTGTGTAATGAAAAAAACATGCTTCAAATGCGGTGTAAGGCTTCTCGTGGTCTTTGATGGGAATCTGACTGTAGGCATTTTTCAAATCAAGGGTACTGCATACGGCATAGCGTGAGATGTCTTACACCATTGTATCGATGCGGGGTAGTGGGTAAGCATCTGGTTGAGTGAAGCGATTGATCGTCTGGCTATAATCAACAACCATTCGTTTCTTGTGATTGGCGTTTTTAGTAACTTGGGCCCTCTACGGGGAGTTTGAAGGTTTAATGATACCATCGCTTAGGAGGCGTTGCACTTCTTCAGCTGAATGTCTTCTGGATTGGGTAGCAATTGGTTTAGAGTCAACAGAGAGGTGGGCGAACATGGGAGATGATTCAATCTTGGCGGCAGAAAGGTTGCACAGTGAGAAAGGACAATGTTTGCCACAGAACGCTATTTTTTACTCCATCATGAAAACCAGGAAGGTTATGGCTAA